CCGCCACATCTCACCCTTCTTTACTTCTACGACGAAACCACGTCACGAGCACCTCGCACACATATCTCCGCTCATCGAAGCGTCGTTTGAAGTGGCGGAGCCCTTACCGATGCGTCGCAGCAGCTTTAAGGAAAGGAGTTGATGTGGCAATGTGGCATGCGCTGAGTTGGCGGTGATGTAGTAGTTGACGTATGGTGTATGCATGGACGGTGAGTGCGATGTATGCCTGTTCGTGCGTATGCTTTTATTGTGGTGTATGTGGTGCTCGTGCTGTGAATGTGTCTCTTTGAGTCGGGGTCCGTAAGCCCCTATAGCTCAGTGGTAGAGCACTCGCTTCGTAAGCGAAAGGTCGGTGGTTCGATCCCGCCTGGGGGCTCTTCTTTTGCCTCTCCTGCCTCACTACTTCCTTACCGATGCCTTCAGCTTACTAGCTTGCTAGTATGCTTGTTTGCTATTGTACACTTTGCGTGACCAGCCTGTCCGTAGCCACACTCAATGCTCGCTCTGTTGTACGCTGACCGCCCTTCATTATTGTTCCACCACATCTAGTACCTAGACACCAACATTTCAGATCTTCCAGATGTATTCTTGGTGTTGCGGCTGCTCGACACCGTAGGTAAAGTCGTGCCGAAAACTGCTGTCGCGTGTGAATCGTGTCTGTGACAATATATAAGAAGATATCATTACGAGCTGCAACAACTGTCGGATCCGCTAGCATGATATCACTGAGTCTGACCGTGCAAGCTGCCCCCCCCCCCTGTTGAGAGTATTATGTACGAGATGATATCCGTGGCGGGTAGAACATAAGCAGGGTAGGTAGGTGGTGGGCCAACATGCCCCCCCAATCGGAAGAAACAGGCCAGGAGGTGAAAAGACCGTGAAATGGCTTTGACGATTGAAAGATTGTGCTGTCGGCGAGGGTGGAGGATTTTTCTTCTTTGAGTGTTGTCAGTATTTGATAAAGGCGTGCGGTATGCGCCGTATCTATGGGTGGTAGCACAGGTCGTGACGGTATGTGCGGGGTGGTCGTGAGTTTGGTTTGGTTGATTTGAATCTGATGAGGGTGGGAGTGGACATCTATGTTTTATTGCATAACGGTGATAGCTTGGCCGAGTGTTAAGGCGTTAGCCTGCTAAGTTAATGGGGCAACCCGCGTGAGTTCGAATCTCACAGCTGTCGTTTTCCTTTACCTCAGCAGACTCGCGGTAGCAAAAGCGGCTATTTCCTGGCCTGCTGACCAGGAAGATACACCGCGATGGCGATTTTCCCCCAGAGTCTGACTTTGGCCAGTATGTTTCGAAGCAGTGTAGATTTTCCAGTACCACCCGGGCCATCAACAAAAAATAGTTTCTTGCCTTTCTCCGGGCGTTCAACCGCTTCAATAATCTGTTTGTAAACCACCCGCTGACTTTCGTTTAGCTGATCTTCTGTGTTTACAATCGCCTCCAAAGCTGACGCATCGTATCCAGTGAGCTCACGTCGTAGTAATCCGTTTTGGCGAAGCGCTTCGCGAATCAATGTTGGGAGCGACCCCAACTGAGGAAGTTCGTCGAAGTCAGCTACCGCCATCGGGGGCCATTCCTTGGGCGAGCTGCGCGTACGAATCTGCGACAGCACTTGGAACGCCGACGACCGCATCTGTTACGTGCGAGTTGCTGAAGGCTGCAGGAGGTGTGTGTCGTCTCGCCCGACTACGGACGAGTGGAGAGCCCATGTCGCCGAGCATCCGCTCAGTGATCGCGAGAACGCCTGGATCACAGCGTTACCGTCGCTCGCTGTCCGAAAAGGCCAGCGCCGCTAGTC